ATTTTGTGGCTCTTTTCTGCAACTCTCCAGTTTTGCAGCGTGCAGTAATCCAGTTCTGATTCCACTAGCAATATATGCAAAAGTGAAGTCACCTCCCTGATTCTATTTGCTACGCCCTTGTTTATACATCTACAGATCATATTAGCCCGTTCAGTCTCAGGATCAGACTGGGAGTTGATCTTCAGTAGGTTGTGCCTGGATTTCCTTTCAGAGCCACAGCCTCCAGAATACAAGTCTGGCTTCCAGTTCCTGGAATATATAGGATTTTGCATGTAGCTACACCAAAATGTACTTTATTTAAGTAATCCCAGTTTACCAGATCTCTGTAGCTGTCTTGCCCTTGTCATTATTTGTCTCTCCACCAATCCTTTACTTCTAGATCATTTATAAGTAAGTGAAGAATATCAGTACTGGCACTGGTCCCAGCTGAAGTCCCTTCTGACCCCTTGCAGAAATACACCCATTCAGTGACTTCTGAATCACAACTATTAATCAAGATAAGTTTACGGGAATATTTCTGCAATGCTGAGCTTTATTAAAGGTTAGCATCATAAGTATGCCACAAGCCTCCTGAGATGATTTCAGAAGTAACTTATCTGGCTCTGCCATTTTGATTTTTTGACGAACAAAAAATGTTGTCTAACTCTACCCGCTCTCAGCAAATAGTTTGAATAGTGTCTGAAACACTGTTTTATTGTCTTCATTTGATGTGAGTCCATATTCTTTTCCAAACAGAAAAAAAAATAGGGCATTTCTGCCCTTCAACAGTCTTAGCAGCCTTTTTAATGTCACAATTTAGTGACAGTTTCCAGTACCATTACTATGTTGTCTTTTCTCAATGTACCTGAAAAAATCCTCCTTACAGTTGTCATGGATTATTCCAGGTTATCCTCGCCTCCTTTGTCATTTTCTACTCATTATCAACTCCAATTTGTATCAGTCATTAATTGTTCCCTACTTTCTACATTTCCATTTCTTGACTAGGAATCATGACTTTTGAATAGACTCTCCTCACAGAAATCCTATTTCTGTTCATATCTTTTCCTATCTACATTTTTTCTTTCCCTTTGCCTCTGACACACCTCCCCTCCCGCATCAGTTTTTAACAGTGCCCTGTTGGTGTCCCTTATCTCCATATCAAAGTGATCTGAGTCAGTAATCTGTTGTAACAAACCTTCAGAGTTAAGCTATTGCTTTTCTGAACTCTAGTCTGAAAGCACCAAATAACTGAATTTTCCATCCCCTGTTTTGTTTTCTCCCAAGCTTTCCATTCTACACTACTACCTTAGGCTTTCTCCCATCCCCTTCCTTTATCCTTGCAGAATGTACCATTGATTGACCGTGGTCACAGTAAAATCATCTTTTCCCCTCCATTTTCACTTTCCCCATCATGCCAATGCCTGACTATTATTTCATATCTATACACCATTAGGCCATCAAGTGAAAACACTGTAGGCATGCTAGGAATTATTGCTATTTGCTTTGCCATCCCATTATCTACAAGAACATGTAAAACTGCCACAACTCTAGTTCCTGAAATGCTAACACCCAGGGTGCTGAACTCCATGCAGCAGAAAGGGCCATGCTGGCAGTCTGCCAGCAGCTGAAAGGCTACATCTAATTGTGCATAAAGTTGAGCAGATTGTCTGCTTAGACTAGAGCAAACAAGCTTATCTTTAATGCAGACATATGGCCAGCAAAACCTACAGATCCCAGCATGCAGTGTTCTGGCCAGCTGGTCATTTGGATCAGAATGAAGCATTACAGGATCTGATACTGCAGTGACAGAAGATGAGTATCACAAACCCCCATGTTCAAAAATCATGAGTCAGGCCACTCAAATTCATGAGTTTGGCTCAGAGAGCTGGATATTTTATAGGGGATAAACCAATTGAATTTGCTTTTAAGACGGGGTTCACATTCTCCCACTTTTCTCTACAATCATTTTTAAAATGCATTTTTTTTAAAAAAAGCTAGGTCACATAGTCACTTGTCTCTGGCACTTGAGACACCAAGAAAAAATAGACTCACAGTACGATTAGGGGGAGCAGCAACATATTCTGAACTCTTAAAGTGCACAGATAACCTGATAGACAGACACACAGACAGAATCTGGAACCTACAATCACTAGATATCACTGGTAAAGATAAGGGTGGCAGACACTTTTGTGAGAAAACTCCAGGTTTTCCAATCTTGCACTGAACTCTCTGCTTTTACCATTGTTTCCTTTATTCAACCCTGCTTTAACTTCCTTTCTTCCCACCTCTCAGCTGTCATATAAAATGTTCTCTCTGCCTCCAACTTTCCATTCTGTAAGACACCTCTGCTCTCCTATAATGACACACCATACATTTTATGACAGTTACCCCCTTGACAGCCGTCACAGGTGCTCAGTCTCCAATTAATCAAGAAACTTGTTCCAACAGAGTTGTTACTTTTAGACAGCTTAAAAATCAGCCTTTAATCTCTCAGTCCTGTTCTTTAGGTCTTTTAAGATGCTAGGGGAAATCTAGCCAATGCAGGCTGGAAGCATCACTCAGATGTTGCTCACCCCCAGTCCACTTCTTGTATATTTGTTGAGGGCAGAGACAATTCTGGCTTCAGTCACAATTCTAGATGCAATAGATTTGGGAATTCCTACTTCTGCTCTGACATAACTGTTTAAGAGAGCATCTAACCAGGAAAGGCAAGAAAAGCTTCAGGTCAAAATGAAGGGATTTGTCAGAGCTATGAACAACATGTCAGGAAACAGAAAAAGCACTGTCTGCTCTGGGTCAGGACCAACATGCGCTGTGCAGAGTTGAAGGAAGGTAATCTAAGAACCAGAGTTTGAGTGCCTGGCAACCAGAAGTGAGCAACTTTGGCAGAGCCACACTGATAAAAATCAGCAGAAAGCCTGTGTCTGCCCTCTGTTCTTTTTTTCCCCCCACATTTTCACAAGCGACCAGTACTTTAGACAACCTGAACGCTTGTTAAGGGGAGTGGGCTGATCTTTCTTTAATGTCAGAGCTCCTATCTGCATGTGATAGAGTGCAATTAGAGAAGCTACATGCCTTGCTGATCCTGTAACCAGTTCTTGTCTTACTTCCTTCACCCGACAAGCTCATTCCATCAATCCCCAGGTTGAGCCCAAAAAAAGAGCAGGACAGTACAGCCAGAGCTGCACAGGCACCAGGATGAATCTTCTCCTCTTCCATTAAGAAGCACTCAGCTGCACTTGAGCTCAGGTAGTCTTCAAGAAGAACCTTTTTTGAGGAGGATGAGATCTGAACTAACAGCAACAACCACCCAAGAAGGGGGCAAAGGTTCATGCTTACACAGACCTCAGGTTGCCACAGGAAGACAAAACGTGTCAATGGCACAGCTGAGCCCCACTTTCTATCTGCCACTGGGTAAAATACAGCTACAAGTCAAATTCGATTTAAAGACTTCCAACAAAATCACCATCTTCACATCTAACACACGGGATGACCTGCCAGTTGCCTGGCCCCTTGCACTAGATGCAAAACACTGCAGAATGATCTGTGATTTTAAAAAGGTGCCATCTCCATCACAGCTGAAGGTGGCTAAAGCCAGCTCTGTGATGCAAATTAGCCTTCAGGCTCTTAGCCCTTGATGCCTGTTTTCTCGTGCAAACAGAAAGCACTGCAGATTCATCTCCTGCTGCAGTTGTTCTGTGGTTTCAGGCCTCACAAAATTAAAAAGTCCCTACTCCCTACAACAAACCCCAGGAAAAAAGGGGGCAGGGTGCGGGGGGGGGGGGGGTTGGGGCGGGAAATGTAAACAGTAGCAACACTTGAACTACCAGACAAAACTGCAGCTGTTTTCTTAAAAGGTATCTAGGACCTAACTCGCCACTCAATACTCATTTTTGAGTCAAAAGGGCCAACTTGATGAGGCCGTGTATGTGAAAATGTGTAGTCTCTCCAGACTACACCTTTGGAAAATGATTGCAGCAAGGACACTGCCAGTAAGTTGAACAGTGGCTTAGATTTTAGCACTGTTTATGCTCTGAACAGTCAGAAATGTTCAGAATTCAGGCAGGAGCTCACTAGGTTCATTTACAGTTCTTTTTTGCCAAAGGAAAGATTGGGCAATATATATATAAAACAAAGCCTGAAAAGCTATTTACAGCACTGGCAATTCGCTGTCCTCCAGCCAATTCCATCTGGTACAGGTCGCCCACTATCCTATCCTGCTACTCCAGGATACAAATAAAATAGCAAACCGAAGTTCTGATTGTGTCCCAAGAATCTAGACAGCAGGATGTGAAAACACTTGGCCCAATCCAAAAAATGCAGCAAATCGGCAAAAAGCAGTTAGAAACAAATAGCAAGTCATTCCCATCTCTTTAGAAAAATATCCTGCCAGAGGAATCCCTGGAAGAGGCTTTAAATATTTTTAACAGTTGTCCAGCAGAACAGTAGAGATGTGAACTGAAGATACATTCCAGTATGCATATCTTCCTTTCTCCTTCTACAACGTGCAACCCCATTAGAGTACAGATTATTCCACACAGCATTTCTAAGACAGTTTATCAAGGGAAATTTGAATTCGGCTTCTCAGAGGTATCAGTTTAGTGTTAATGAGAGCCCATTTAGATAAAGAAGAGCAATACTGGGTGGGACAGGAGGTGTGAAATACTTCAAACCACATAAATTCCCTCTATCACTGGTGGAGTTATCTCTCTCCATAGGGACACCAGCTGTCACAGGCTTTACAGAACTCAGGCAAAGGGTGCTACTGGTGTGGTCAGGCCAGTTGTGAGGATGTGACAGCCCTGGTACACTTAGATCTTACCATTGTAAGTGTGTAGAATTGCTTAAAAAGGAAATTAAATACAATATTTTAGTAAAGGATAAAGTTCCTTTACAGATTCACAGGAGCTTCTCCCAAGGATACCAACTCTACAGTAACACACACTTTGTTGCCTTAGCATTTCCCAGACTACTCAGACTGCCTTCCCTTTCATTGCATCTGTTGATCCTGCTACCTTTACCTTGTGGGATATCATGCTCCAGAGAGTCTAGAAAATCAGTGGATGGGTCCAGGTCAGCCTTTTCCAGCAGGGTTTTATTCTTCAGGTTAACAGGCTCAGTAAAATGGAAATAGGAACTTAACTTTTTTGCCTCCGTCAAAGAAAGACCTGCAAACAGCCATTGGTGATGGTTAATACAGTGAGCTAGGCTACCATTCATTATACCATCAAATATCAAATTGTTTCTCTAACACCCACAGCACAGGACAGAATCACAGTCTTTTTCCAGTGGACTCTCACAGAAGACCAAAGACTTGCCAGAAATGGGTGGCAGTGCTCCCCAGTGCTGTGCATTGCAGACCACGCTAACTGCAGTCCCAGATAAGCAATGGGCACCGAGTTGAGACCAACTCGCTGTGCCCATTTGGTTACATCCTATATCCAGATGAAGAATTCACTGCAGCTATAATTGCTAAACACTGACATAAACTATACACAGACAAATGCAACTACAGGTTTAATGACTCAGAGCCATTACTGACTCTCCTCCCACCGCCCAGAGTTGAATCATGCACCTGAACACTAGTGGCACTGGAATCTTTCCTCCCTGTTCATCTTACCCATGGGAAAAATAAACCTGAAATCAAAACATCAACTAGAGGAAGTCATCTTAATTTACAGCCTTTGTGTTCAAAGCACAGTTGATCCTGATAAAGACAATGAGAATTTACCTTCAAAGTTTCTGTTTTCATGCACAGACCCAAGAGGAGTCTTCACAAATGCCCCCCGGGGGATGATACCAACTGCTCTGTCTATCTGTTCTATCGTAGCTACAAGGCGAGCCTCTTCCTTGATTATGGGCTTTAAAGAAAAACAGGCAAATTTTAAAGGCAGGGCTTTTCTTTTCATTTCTGAAAATAAACTTGAGGTGACAGTAGAAACCACAATGACTCATCAGCTTGGAGTCCAATGGCACTAAGAGGAAGGCCACAGATCAGACATTCTCCTCATAAGATATGACAGAAAATGTGGCAAGGAGCAGACAGTATAGGCTGACCAGAGAGCAAACTATCCCCTCCATCATCCATCCTGTCCTCTTCAGTTAAACTTCCTATGAGTTGTCTATGCATTTATAAAGAATGGTGCCTGCAGTTCCTGTTAAAGCTTCAGAAACTGCAGCGAGGATCTGTACCAATTATGCATAATAAAACATAAGGGAGATATCATTTCTGAGTCATGTCTAACTCCAGGAGTAACTGTAGAGTTCAATCAAGCAGCCATTGCTACACAATGACAGCAAGGAGGAAATTGTATGTATGAGCACAGGCTCAGGCTGCTTATTACAAACAAGGAGGAGGAGCCACTCCCTTGTCCAGTGTGAGGGGTACAACTGCAGCGAAGACTTCAAAACGTGTTTTGCTGTATTTACCTCCTTACCATCTTCAGTCAGTCTTTCGGCATCTTCTGCGTTTGGGTACTCATACTCAAAAGAAGGATCCCCCTGGAAGCGGCCCTTCAGCTGCTCAGCCTGCGCAACCATCTCCTTGGTCGCTGGTGGCAGGAGGCTCCATTCCACGCAGTCCAAGCTGCCAGCGACAAGCACAACACAGGCCCGAGCCCGCTGAAGAACGGGGCTCGATGCAGCCTTGTCAGGCCCCTCAGGGCACGGCGAGGCTCCCCCCAGGAGAGCTGAGCAGCCACCCCCGCGGCTCCCCAGTCCCCTCTTTTCCCCCCACCCTCCCTCCAGCCCCCAAACCGACCTCCCGAGGCCGTTTAGGCCTCCCCGGGGATGTGCCCGTCCCCTGCGCGGAGCGCCGGTTGAGGCCCGGCTTCCGCACCTGTAGAGGCGGCTGCGGGGCGCGGCGAGGTCGGGGCCCAGCCCCTCGGCGATGTAGTAGGCGCCGCGCACGCCCTGGATGCAGCCCCAGAACCAGACCCGCTCGAAGCGGTAGTCGCGCTGGAGGAGCAGCAGCGAGGACCCCAGCACCGCCCGCTTCTCCGGGCTCAGCCCCGCACCGCCGCCGGCCACCAGCTCCAGCGCGGCGGGCAACGACTTGGCCTCCATAGCGGCTCCGCGTCGCCGTTGCCGGGCAACCGGGGTCAAAGGTGACGGCGTGATTCCGCTGGCGGGAACGGCCCAAAACGTCAATCAAAGCGCCCGGCAGCGGCCCGGGGCGGGGGGAGGGAAACCACGCTGACATGGCAACGGCGGGTCCCGCCTCCCCGCTGCCATGGAAACGGCGGCGGTGGGCGCGGGCGGCTAATGGCGGCAGGCCCAGCGACGCGGCTGGTGCCAGACCCCCCGTCCCGGGAGGGCGGACGCCTCGGGCTGAGGGCCCGGGCGGGCGAGGCGGGAGGGAGGCCGCTGCGCCGCGGCGGGCGCCTCGGTAACCAGGCTCCGGAGCTGTCGCGGGGCGGCGGCACCTCTCGTGCGGTTCCGCCGCCTCGGCCCGGGCCTTCCCTCCGCGGGGAGCCGAGGGCAGTCGCGGCGAGGAGGCTGTGCGTCGTCTGCGGGCCGGCCGGGGGCTTCCTGCTCAGCAGCGGGAGAGAAAGCAGAGCCCGGGGCAGCCTGCGGGCAGCTGCCTTGGCCGTGCCAGCCCCATAAATAAAGCTAACCATGCCCCGACACCCAGAGACGCTGACGAGCAGCAACCCATGGGGAATGCAATTAGGGGTGGCTGACCTGCATAGGTCTTCCTCAGTTTCAAGAGGCCTAAGTCCAAAGGTAAGTCCAAAAAGCAGGAGGGTGTGCAACTGTATTGTACTTTAGCCAGGATACCACAAAGGGCTCCATCTTCCTCATTTCTTGCATGAACAGCAGCAAAATACCCCTTCTGAATCTCCCTACTTGTATTTTTACAGATCTCATCCGCATCTACAAATAAGTGGCTTATTCATAAATGACAGCATTTGAATCACTCTTTGGGGGCTCATTATGCTGAATCACATACTGACAGACATCCACAAAGCAGCTCCTGCCCTAAAAATCTTGCAGTGTGTCTTAATACAAAGTGCAATAAATAAGTAATGAGGTTGCACAGTTGCTTAGACAAATAGAATTTCTGTTTGACATCTTCAGGAAGTTTAAGCTTTTATACGTGTGCATTATATAAATAAATAGATGTGTATGCACTTACATTTAAATCCATTGTCACATCATAAATTCCTAGATTTCTTTTTCATCCATTTCCTGTTCACTTCTAAGGAAAACACAGATCCTAGGACTGCTGCCTGTAACAGTCATCACCTGCTTGTCTGTCAAGTGAGATGTTTAATGAGCTGTACAGCACATAATCTGACCCATTAGTTTTACTTACACCACACAAAAAGCAACTCAGATTCCTGAACATTAACCACCTCTCTTTGACATGAATCAGGCAGAACATGGAAGAGTGACCACCAACCTTTTGTCTACCCTGTCACCTACCACTGTGCCATAGTCTGATTTTCTCTATGGGAATAGGAATTTTCAGGCTTGGAAAACTCATTTAATCACTGATGTCTCTAGAACCGTGTGTTAATAATTTATGTTATGGCTATTATCTGGCCAGTAAACTGTAGAACTGCAAGCCCAACTTATTTCATACAAGTCACAGAGGCAAACTGAGACCATAATGAATTTCTGCCACTGTCAACCACAGCTGGATTCAAACCAGATGCTAACAGCTGAGAGGCTCTTTAGCCTGTTGTGGAACTTCTAAGCCACCCAGTCTCCAGTCTTTGCCTGTCCTGATTGAAGATTATCAAAAAGGAAATCTATAGCTTAAGGAAATTCTTCCTGGTTCAGTAAAGTCTGGTGGGTAACTGTACTCTGCCTTGCTTTGTCTTGACCTCAATTACTAAAAACTGATAAGGATCGGGAAGTAAGTGGTTGCATTATTTAACAAACGAAAGGTCAAAGCGCTGCTATTCACCAAGGTCAAAGGTTACCATCACTGTTATTAAACAGTTTGAAAGCAGTTTCTCCCATCCCTTGCCATCCCAGGCTCTAACAAGGAGTTGCTCAGCAGTTGGGCAGCCAGGAGGGAAGGGAGGCACCAGACGTCATTCAGCTGGCTGCTGGCTAGGTGGCTGTCCTTACAGACCCGCTTCGGGGAGGGAAGGTGCCGTGCTCCAGCAATGCACAGCAGCTCCCATCGGAGGACTGAGCTCTCCTGCCTTCGCACAGAACAAGCGCGTACCTGCGTGCCAAACACTGTCAGGTCTTCCCAGCTCCACCCCGTTAGAGCTGGCATCCTTTTGGGTGAGAAATCAAACTCGGGTTCCTTCCCACTTGTCTTGGGCAAGGTACTGAAGCTCACAGAACTATGTGCAGCATCAGAATTGGACATCTTGAAAGACATACAAATCACTGCTGAGTGTACAGTGGCTCCTGTGTGCTTTCACAGCTTTAGAAAACATTTGAAAATACTTTTAATGATGTAGTAGGAAGTGAGCTCATCTTCCTTCGTGTTCTTTAGCATACTTCATCTCAAGAGAAAGAAAAATAGCCATTAATCAATGTCACTATTTCTGCTGGTACAGATCAAGAAGGCTGCCCTCAGAATATTCTTACAGGACAACTTGTTGCACTGTCGTGGGCATCCATTAGGCTGACACTGCTGGCAAGTTATACAACTGTCCATCATCCAGGACACTTCTTCATGTGATGGGGACTGTTTGCAGTTGGTTCTGATGCATCAAGAAATAGATAGGGGTTATTCCTTCCAGGTGTGTTGAATATGAAGTCTGATTTTCCTCCCAGTTATCTCAAAAGTTCAGACTGTCTCTGGCTCCAGAAACACTGTGGCTTTGAATCATTTTCCTGCATGTAAGTCATTACTGTATAAGGCAAATAAGATGGTAAAAGATAGTAAGCAAGAAAGGAAAGGACAGAGTTCTTCTCAATAAGGAAGATGGCTGCTTGACAGAAGGGGAGGAGACTGTGAATGACAAACCTTTGAACAAATTTCAAGAACTGCAAAGCAAAGCCATGAGCATTGCTGAGAATAAAGTAAGGAACTGGAGCCAAGTAACAGTTTAACAGCAACAGAAGGGATCAGAGATGTTCCTACCTGGTATAATACAAGCACTTTCCTCTGTCTTGGAGATTGTACTAAATATGACAAAACTCTGGGAATACTTTGGCTGCAAAATGTTCAAAGAAAAAGGATGTGGGTCTTTGGCTTGTCTGGGACCAATGCCATTTTCTCCATTTGGGAGACTTGAGCTAGCTGTGTGCTGTCACCAGGGACTCAGAGAGGAAGGGGTGAAGGTGCAATGTGTGCCATGGGCTGGGCTCCTCCACATCTGGAATCCCTGCAGTAGCATTCTCAGTAACAAGTCAGCAAGGAATCAGGCTAGTAGGTCAGGATGGGAACAGCTGTGCTGAGATAAAGAGGAAATCTGCGGGATAACTGACAAGTCTTCCCTGGAGATTCTCTTTGGCATAATCCTGGGCAGGCAATATGCCCAAAAAAGTGGTTAACCTGCCCTACTCAGAAAAAGAGAGGCACAAGAGCCAAAGAGCTTTGTCATTTTGTGGCATGAAATTTTCTACGTCTTTAAGGTTCATTTAATGGTTTTCATCACTCCCCTAATAACATCTATCTTCCTGACTGCTCTTGGCACAGGAGACAGGTAAAGAGTTTACTGGGGTAAGAAGTACCAATGTGCTGATTATATCATCTTGCCTGGGCATCATATGAGTAGATGTGATTCTTCCAGCTGGCAAGTGAACACACACGTCTGTCTGTATTTTTCAGGTACCCAGAGGGCTGAGATGCAGCCCTCTAACCTTGCACCCACCGTGCTGCCAGTCAAACTGCCGACAGTCTGAGTAGGAGGATGCTGTTGAGGAACCTTTGGAAAGACAAAACAGCACAGCGAGAAACTTCTATGTAAGTGTAGTCCTGACTGTGATTAGGCTCCAGGAGAATTTACTGCATTGGTATAGGTATTATCCACATTTCAGGCTGCCCATCATCCTTGTGTCCTGGCATTATAAGTTAATATGTTCACAAAAAACTAATACAGTTTTTTTAGACATCTTAAGCAAGGATAGGCACTTCATGAAAAATTGCCAAATTGTTTTGGTGATTTCCCGGAAGCAGCTTGCTGACAATGATCCCTGGTCTTTACAAGTTCAATTTTTAGGACACTCATCTCTACAAGCTGCAGTTGCTACAGCAAAATGGCGGAAGAGCATGTCTTAGTGGCAGGAACCTGAATGATTTCAGTTTTTCAGAGCAGTGACCAAGACTACATATTACAGAGAGGTATGAATCCGCAGCCATCGGTAAGAACAGTCTTGGTGTAACAAAGTTGAATCAACTTGTCCTTGGAAGAAAGCCCAACGAGTCTGCAGCTTGCAGGTGGCTCCAGTCATAACCTCTCTAAACTGTTTAAGCACAGGGGCAACAAAGACCAGGGTGATGCGTGAGAAAATCATGTGGCAAGCTGACGACGGGATGAGCGTTTCTGGCCTACTGCCTGAGAGCCCGGAGCAGAAGTGAGGAAGTAGACCCAGGGGAGCTCTGCGATCAGAAGGCAGATCTCATTAACTAAAGATGATGTTTTCAGAAAACATCCTTCTTCTAGTAAGCTTTGCTTTTATCTAGGCAGAGCTTATTCCCGGTGAAGACATCTGCATCGCTCCCTCTGCCAGATAGTCAGAGACCACTGGCTTTTTCTCATGTCACTTTCTATAGTGATTGCTATTTCCAACACCTTTTTTTTTTTTTCTTCAGGAAAATACTTCCCAATCTGAAATTTCTGCTCAGCATCAGGCACCTGCTTAAAACTATTAACCTTTAGAAATGAGCAAGAGCCAGAAACCAACTCAAGTGGGGTGGGTGGCTTCAGATGACTGTCTGCACCCTCGAAGCATCAAACACCCGGAGGGGTGTTTGTATCACCATCTCTGGGGCACTGACTCTTGTCAGCAGAGCTCAGTCATCCCCTGAGCAAGACTTCTGCCTTTGTGTGGATTCACTCTTCCCACCTGCTGCTGAATTACTTTGTTTGAAGAAGCCAGCTGCATCGTGATGACACTTTTATGTGGTTTCTTCTCCCAGCAATAGAGTGGAGCCAGGTAAATTA